CCAGCGTTGCCATGCAGACTATGCATTAGCTTGATTCTCCCCTTAGGGGATATGCAAAACTAAATTCTGTGAAATTGTTGCTCACCACCCTGCGATTTACTTCTTGGCATCCGGCGTCTCACCGGATTTTCCTTCTGGGGGCCTCTTTGTCGCTGCTTTGATTGGCGAGGTCGGTCGATTTTGTACTTTAGCCAGTTTTTCCAGAAAAGACTGCTGTCCTTTGCGAGCTCACTGCTTGCTTTTGCCTGTGCTCGGATCGTCTTTGCAGAGCTACCTAGCTGCTGCATTGAGAGCTTTAAATTGTATTGCCCTAGGCTGGTCATAGCAACGAAAATGCGCAGCTGCATCCTTGATGACAAAAGTTGATGTAGGCCTTGCAGTCCTGCCAACATAGGGACACCTGAAACCTTCCATCTTTGTACTGTATTACCATATTGCAACTGGTTGGCCTGCGTAAATTGTAAGAGCGCCTCTTCATTCCGAAAACGGATTGCCCATCGTCCCTGAGCACCTTTCTCAACCAATCCCAGAGCACTGGACTGCTCAGCCATGGATAGCGCGTCTTCAAGAGAGACGCTGTCTTCCAACCAAAACAATTCAGTTCCCACGTCGATTTCAGAAATGCGTCTCTTGATAAAAAGGCCATTCCGACCACTTTTGGATAGCAAAACGTCCTCAAAAACATTGTGAACGTGAAATAGAAAAGACCCATCTCCACGCGACAACACTGAATCAAAGGCGTTCTCATCCACGAATTGTTCGAAGTGGGTGACCAAAATTCCAGCGGGATGTGGTCCATGTGCCCAACCACGGTGCACACTCATTTTTGCAACCATCTTTGTCATAGTAAAGCCAACTTGTACCTCATCTCCTATAGGTTGCATAGCCACTGGCGCTGAGAATCCCAGCTGTACGAGAGCCATCGTTCAACATCAACATGCTTTCTTGTGCCACCAGCCGCAACTACATCATATGTACACTTCACACAGGACCGAGGGTAACCAACAGGATCCCAAAAGTTTGTGCTTGTTGGAGTAATAGCGCACGCAGCAGCTAGACTCCAGTCCTGCGCCGTTCAACCAACCCCCTGACGATCAAAAACAACTGGACGGGAAGAAGATGAAGAAGCAGGTTCATCACGATCCCGCGACCGCACTTCACAGTGAGACAGCGGCGTCTTGCCTACCACTCGCTTAGCGAGGGAAACCTTGTTTGCGCCAGTACATTTACTTCGAGTCAGGTTCGCGACACGATCCTTCCATCTCCATCGCCGATCACATCTCAAGCGTAACAACCAGCCTTCATCAGGAGATCCGATCTGTTTGCCTATTTTGCGGTTCCATTGCCATACGTGTCCCCCAGTGTTATACTTCTCATTAAGCTCGTGCTCGAGGCGGTCTAGCCTTGATTCGGCCATATTGCGTCCTTCTTGTTGAAGAATAGGCCCATTCGAATTTGTGCAGGGTAGGCGTGTAATCTTGAGTCTAACGTGTTTGAGCATACTGGTGAATTTGCCGCGTCGCATACACCAAATACCTATTCCCGACGCACGCGCAGACAAGAGGCGCCCGTTCTCCTCTAACTGGTCGGAACGAATCACTGGCCCTTGGCCGCCCTGGTCCTCCTCATGGCCTGGCTCAACAAGATCAATCCCGGCGTTCCACTGCTTTATGTGGTGCTGCCAAACCTCCACCAGGAAAGTTTGTATTGCTTTGACGTCACCATCAGTGAGCCGACTCTCCTGAGGAATAACTGCAGCATACTTCACACAAGTGGGGAGGTCATCAACCGAGCACGACAACTGATCAAGAAGAAGAGTTCTCTTTTGTTGGTACTGCTCACAATGCCACGACACGTGTTCCACCGATTCTCGGTCCAAACCACAACGACAAAGGCGAGGTTCACCTTGTTTTCTATGGCGGGCAACACGATCAGGAGTTAACAAGCCCCCAGCAAAGATCGACCGCAACACTCCAAGTTTTGCCCCAGCGTCCAAAACAACACGAACATCATCTGGCATGTCAGAATGACCGCCGTCAGCAATAACCTGGAGCTCATCATACCATTTCACGGTACGTCGCCGGTCGGTGGGCCGCACCAGCGTAGTGATGACTCCGCTCTCTTGACACGCGTGCCCACAAATGGGATCTCCACGTCTCACGCAAGCCATGGAGCCATTCGTCTTCACAGAAATTGTTGCGTTGAAGAAGGCGACGAATGTGTGGAGCAAGCACCGAACTATCCGCAAGCGCGCGCAACCGGGCAGTTGGCCCATCAACCATACATTGGGGCGCAAGTGCAAATCTTCTAGATAATTCCGAAGCAACCACAGGGTCGCGCATGAATCGCATCACTGTGCGCAAGCCATCATTGATAGAACCAAACTCAGGGTCAAGTTGAATAGGCACCAAGAGAGCCATTGTCACCAACGGGCTGCAGGAATAGAAATCAGTTTTCCACAGAGCTCTCATGATTTCAGACCTAACTTTTTTCAAGTAGTCAACGTTCTCGACCAACCCGTGAGTACCCTGACCGAAGGTAGCCTGGCTCTGTATGGCCAACATCATGCAGACTCGCTGTTTCCACCCTAGCGGGACGTGTCTAATTCGTCGAATGCTACCTTTCCACTTGTCCCAACGTTTTTGTTCCAGCTGTGTAACAAAGGAAGCATCATCTCGAACCACCAATGAGCCACCGACAATTCGAAAATCTTCCAGGTGTTGAAAACCAGGGCGCAACAAACCATTGACATGCTCATCACCGAAGGTAAAGCACTTACGGTCGTTGAGTTCCCCACAGCCAGAAGCTACATATCCGCGGACGACGGCACGCACAGCCCGAAGCCCATTCTTCACTTCTTGCAATGTTTCCCCTCGAATCACAGCTGAGAGGTCATCTGCGTAAGTAGAAATGCGCAGGGCAGGGTGAGGCAGGCGCGCAGACGCTTCCACAACGCAAGCCACCAAGGAGTTCAGAATGACCATAGAGATGGGGTCACCTTGCACCAATCCATTATAGGAACACCACCAATTACCAACAGGACTAGGGAGACGAAAAACACGGTGGAGACCATTATACAAACCATGTAAGGCGGAGAGAATACGGGGGCGGCATCCTCTGCGGCGCATGATCTCGAGCGCGATTTCAATGGGGACCAAATCAAAGGCTTTACGGCAATCATAGGATACCCCCGCCACATACTGAAAATTTGTAAAGCCCTTGCTTTCCAGGTCCAGCGCAATTTGCACAGCAAGAGTTTCTGCACTCTTGCCTTTCCGGCAGCCAAACACTGCTTCACTGACCAAACTCTCCTGCCATTGCAACAAGGCAATAAATCTTGCTTTGGCATAAAGCCGGTAAATTGTAGAAAGTACAGTGATAGGGCGAAAGTCCGTTGCGCTCACATCATCAGCGTGTTCATCCTTGGGGATGAGCGAGGTGTAGGAGGAAAGCAAATCTTGCGGCCACTCACCTAGTTTCTCAATCTTGTTCAATATCATGGCCACGTCCTCAAAAAGCATAGGGAACCAAACCGCCAAGGCGGTGATGGCGGAAGGGCACCAACCATCTAAGGAGGCAGCACTTGGGGAGGTAGCTCTGGCAGCGTTAACCAAATCAGCACCAGTTAACAAGGACAGCGACATAGGAGAAGATTTAAGAAACTGACCAATGTGTGTAGTGAAAGATGCAACATCAGCCTTGTTCACCCTTGTGAAAAATGGGCAGCCATTCCGTCAAAATCTCCTCCAACTGAACAAAGCGGTCAACCGTGTAACCCCCAGAACGAGTCTTCATAGGAGCGGGGGTTTGTGCCTTTTCACCTTGGATCCATTTGTAACACTGCCGCTCAGATGACTGCAGCCTTGACTTCCACGCTTTCAAGCGTGCCTGCTCACTTTGTCGCTTGGCCCGACTATACTCTTCTTCTAAGACATGCTGCAAAACAAGGAGAGAGTCACGCGAAAGAACTCCAACAAGTGCTTCTTGCATTGCATCAGCAGACGGACCTTGCGCCTCGCGGGCAAATTTGCGAATGCCCGGTAGCCCCATTGTCGCATTCTGCCTAACTTGTGGGCTTGTCGCAGAGCTTTAGCAACACGACGACAACAAACAGTATCCGCACACTCGCAGATCCTTCAGGAGGGAAAACGGTAAGCTTTCTGAAAACTGCACGACCTCGACCAAGTCCGGAATCAAAACCAGAGTTCTGAAAGGTGCTCTGCTCCTCGGCACCATGCCCGGTAGGCACCGTCAATGTCTGTTTTGAGAAGACACTTCCTCATCACCAAGTCCGTGGCCGCATGCGGCGGCCGATAGTCATCTGGGGGACACTGAAAACCCTGGGAAGAATCAATCTTTCTGGGCATATACCACGTCTGCGCTGCACATGGCAAAGCCAGTGACAGTTGAACCAAGCAATGATCATTAGGGTTCACTCCTTCACTCAAGTCATAACCTCTGGCAAGGGCGCCGGCCGTGTGGTTCAAAAGCGCAATGTCAATGCGGGCGCCCTGACCCTTCAAAGACGTAGGTCGACAATCAAAACCATGCTGACCAAAACATGCGGAATCAACCCAGCGATCACCACGGTAACGATCAAAAGGGGCAGGACAATCCCCCGACGCGTGCCAATGCATATACTCAGAAGTCGTTTGAACGGGGACTGCGAGAACATGCTGTCCTTTTTGGTCATCCGGTTTGTGATCGGGGCTTTGCGGGAGTTGCTTTCATGTATCGCAAGTCAGCAGCTTGGGCTGTGCGAAGTGTGGCATTTCTCCACAAGCCTTGTGAACGTTTCTATGCCGATAGCAGGCTGATGTGTGTCCAGCTTTTCCGAGTTGATGAACGACGTTCCGTGATTGTGTATGTGCTTTATGGAAAGTCGGGCGGTCGATGTGAGCCAGAAAAGAAAAAGTACAATGCGCACTTGCCTGAGGCAGTCCATGAAGACTCTCTACGCAGCGGCGATGTAGCTACCAACGTCTGTGGTGACATGAATATCACCATGCCAGGAAGTGTGAAGTTAACGATGACAAATACTCAACTCGACCATTCTTCTGCAAACCTGCCACATTACAAAGAGAAAATTCCACCACGTCTTCATCTCCATGGTTACCATGAAGGGCATGCATCTTCTTATTGCGTCCCGTACGGGAGATACAAGCAAAATAATATGGAAAGTGAAACCTGCTGGCGCGTTCAAACCAGTCATCGCTTGGGAGCGGGGGTCTCCCCCGTGTGGCCATCATTCTGGCGCTTCGCGGCTTCCGCGGCTCGTGGGGAGCCTTTGGGGGAATCAACGAGAATGGGAATTTTCTCTGGTGCGGCCGCTGCCATTTTTTGCAAAAAGGCTTGTTGAGCTTGTGCCCGTGCACCAAGGTCAAGTCCACTACTACCATCGCTTCCACCGCCACACGAAGTGGGCTGTCCCAAATACCGAAAGCGAGCGGGATCTCGGCAACCTTCCAACCCAACGAGCACAACATTTGGGAGAGACCTTGAACTCCTGCCTGTAGTGGCACCCCCGTAACCTTCCACCTCTGCAAACTAGCATCGAAGTCGTACTTGTTAGACTTAGCAAAGGTAGTGAGGTCCTCAACACTGCGAAAACGTAAAGCCAGCCTACCCTTGTTTCCTTTCTCCACCACTCCCAAAGCCCCTGCGTTCTCCGCAACAAGCAAGGCATCGTTAAGGCTGATCTCAGGGTCAAGCCAAAGAAGCTCATGTCCCGCTTCTGGTTCTGAACTGTGCCTCCTAAGAAAAATGCCCTGCTTCCCGCTTTTGGAAAGCATGTCTCTTCAAGGACATTGTGGACCAGAAACAGGAAAGAGCCATCTTCACGAGGGACAACCGCATCAAAGGCACGTTCATCGACAAACTGTTTCAAGTGGTTAGTGAGAACACCACCTGGGTGTGGGCCATGAGACCAACCCCTCCAAGGACTCAATTTAGCAACCATGCGGATCATAGTGAAGCCAACCTTCACCTCTTCCCCCGCCGGCTTCATGGCAACATGTTCTGCGAACCCCAATTGGACTAACCATCGATCCACCTCAACGTGTTTGCGCAATCCCCGGGTCGAAGCGACATCATAAGTGCATCGCGCCCTTGAACGCGGGTAAGCCATCATTCCAATGTCATCTGGTTCTTGAACTACTAAGATTGCAACCGGCTTTGAGGAGTAGCCTACGCGTTCCAGGAAAGCCTCCTTGGGGGCAATCGCAATTCCTCCAGTCGAGTCTGGGTGTTTCCATTCCCTGATAGTTTGGTTCCATTGTTCCTGGAGTAGTTTGGGTTGCGCCCGAGTTTTTGCAGCCTCTGGGAGAGCCTCACGCATGGTTCGTGCAAATTCAATCTCCGGGTCAACTTGCACGCTCATTCGTCCCTTGCCTTTGCCCTTATTGCCTCCACCATTGCCCATAATAGCATGTCGCATTTTGTTCATGGTTTTGCGGGATACGCTCCATGAAGACACAAAGGCATCAGACTCTCGATGCCATATATCATCACTGCATCGCACACAAGGATGTAAGAATTGACATGACAAAGTATCGCGCTGAGGTTTACTCAAAGGAAACCACATCGCACACGATAATAGAACCTGCGCCCTCAAGGCATGTGAACTCTCCTCGAAAGAAGAAGGCGACCACCGACACACCACCGATGCCTGACTCGCCTGCAGCATGGTCACCCCAGACATCGATATAGGTGCTGCAGAACCATCAGGATCCCAAAAGTTGTGGCTTTGGAGGAGGATCCGCCCAGAAGGCAAAACCTCCCTGGTGTGGCTCTCATCCTTCTCCACGTCGCCAATCCAGACTGGGATCACCATGCTGGCCTGAAGAGGATGAAGCCGCGGGGTTCGGGTGATTCACATTCGGGTTGTCAGGTTCTTCAAAGTAGCCAAAGGCTGTACGCGGTGTAGTTTTTGAGATTAATCGTCTGGTGGGTTGGAATTTCGCATGAGCAGTTTTACTAGTAGGGTTCTGCATGCGTGGCGGATGGCCCAATGGGGCTTCGGATGGGAGATGATCTATGGTGGGTCTACATTTGGATCTCTTGAGATTATTATTGCGGTGCTTCCAAGACCATTCTCGGCCACATCTGGAACATGATATTCGGCCTTCGTCTTCCCGACCGGAGACTTTACCAATCTGTTTGCGTCGGTGTTATATTGTTGGAGTGATGCTTCGAGATCAGCTAAACGTGCTTGGGGGCGGTGGAAACCCTCTTGCGTAAGCCAGTGGCTGGGCGCAAGGCTGGCTTGTTGACATGGCTTTCCTGAAATTTGAAGGCGCACATGTCTTAGCCTAGCAACGTACAGGCCACATTTTTTGCACCAAACACCGGGGTTATTGATTCGCGGAGCTATTTGATGGCCGTTGGATACATATTCCGTTGTGTCTTGCTGAGAAATTGGAACACACTCGGCTTCTGGGGGGGTCTCAAGATTTTGCTTCTGATGGTATGCTTGGATATTACGCTGCCAAATGGTGACTAGGGTTTCTTGAACCTGGACTACATGCTCAACTGGGATAAGAGATCCGGCAGGTAAGATAGTGGCATAGCGAAAGCAGGTGGGGAAGCTGTCTCCGTTATGTCCTAAGCTACTTAAGCACGGGTCCCGAACATCTGCACGCAGCGGGCAGCACCATGAGACATGTAAGACCGTAGGGATACCTCCACACGCACATTTGGGAATATCTCGATGTTTACTTGACTTCTTCTGTGAGCAAACCGCCACACAGGAGGCGTCTGAGAACTCCCAATTTCATTGCCAGCGCTTCTGTGAATTTGGCCTCGAGGGTGGCATCCCATTGTTGGTATAATGATAGGGTTTTGGGAAAATCACAACCTGCTGCTAGGTCTGCGAAGTGCTGTGGTCTATCGCGCGCTGCACGATGAATGAGCTCGTTTCGCCATATCATGCGAAGTTCAAGGCCCCACTGCTCGGGGTTGCGGACACCTTGCACAAGCTGATTTATGATGTGGTTGAAAATGGGCTGCTGCACTTGTATTGCCTGCAAGCGGTGGATGGGACCATCGTGTCCTGGCACAAAAGGTTGGGGGAACCTTTGCTGCATGAGTGCACGATAACTTGGTGACTTAGAACAGCGCAACACAGTATACAGGCCACGGTAGATGAACGCGAATAATGGATCGAGATGAGGTTTGACGAGGAGCGCGAAGGTTAGGTTGGGATTCATAGTGTAGAAACTAGTTGACCAGAAACATCGCATGATATCCGACCGGATGCGCTTAAGCCTGTCTAACTCAACACCAATCATGTGGGTACCCTGGCCGTAAGTGGCCTGCGCTTGGGTTGCCAACAGATATTTTGCTTTATCGCGCCAAGGGTTGGGCGCATGGCGCATGTTTTTACGGTGCGGGCCCATGTATTAATTCTAGATGACTCTACTTCACTTTCCTTGGCTTGTGCATCTTCACTGAGAATGGACGCTCCCACTAGGCGAAAAGCAGTGTGGTGTGTGTAGTTGGGATCCACTTGATTTTTAAGGCATGCGTTCCCAAAAGTGTGAGTTTTCTTCTGGGAGATCTCACCAAAACCTGTAGATTCTAGGGCGCGGACAATTTGATTAAAATGCCGGACACTGTTGAGAAGGCTGTCTGGGGTATGGCTAACGGCAGTTCCACTGAGGTCATCAGCGTAAGCACGGCCAATAATTTCGGGACAACATGCTTGAGAGACTTCCAGGACTGTTGCTACAAGGCTATTGAGGCCGATCATGCTTATTGCGCCACTGGTCCACCAAGAGGAGATGGACCCTGTGAGTCTGAACACTCTACGAAGCTGTTTATAGAGACCTTGCAGGGGTATGAGTATGCAAGCATGCATACCGCGATGCTCCAAGGCTGCGAAGAGTAGCGATTCTGGGATCAGGTCGAAGGCTTTGCGAAAATCAAAACAAATTCCGCCGGCAACGAGGGAAGTATCAAATTTGGCTTCTTCTACTAATTGCATGGCTGTGGCGAGGCCCATAGTCTCTGCACCACGGGAAAGTCTACACCTCCACATCTCTTGGGGAGCCCAACTTTCCTGCCAGGCGAGGCAGACCTGGAACCGGAAAGAACTCCACAAACGGTAGACTGCTGACAGGACACTTATTGGTCGGTAATCGGTAGGAAGGGGTGATTCATCGAGGTCTGCTTTGGGAATTAGCGATACATAGGCTGATGCCAGTGCGGTCGGCCACACTCCATGTTTCTCGATACGCCGAAGAATTTGCGCGAGTTCTGTAAAAAGTGAGGGGCGCCAGAGCGCTAACGCTTGCAACGCTTGCGGCCTCCACTGATTGAGGCTGCATGAGCTGGGCTTGATTGCTTTAGCTGGCTGCACTAACAGAGCACCGGTTAAGGGTCGTGGTGCCATTTCAGCGGTCCCCTCTTGATTTCCAAAACGTTCCAAGAAGATTTCGGCACTTGGCTGGCCGGTTTTGGAAGATGGGGGCCCACGCCTGCATAATGGCATCCAACTGGGCCTGCTCATTGGTTGTGGTAGTGCCGTCCGGTGGAGTCATTGTCTGGTCCTCAACGGGTCGTGTCTTTCGCGCCCATTGGTGAGTATGTTTTTCGCTGTTGATGAGTTTCTTTTTCCACGCCTGGATGCGGGCATATTGTTCGGCTGTGAGGGCCCGCTGCATAGCAGCGCGAAGGAATTTGAGTACAACCTGTACATTGTCGAAGGTGAGGGGTTGATCGAGAGAGTGCTTGAGTTCCGCCCATTGATTATGGTCAAGGCTGGGCTTAACAGCTCTGATATTGTTTCCATTGGTTTGCTTTGCTGCGCGTGTCCAAACGCACACGAACGGCGCAACTCCTCAGCACGGGCCAGCGCTTGGGAAAGTCGCTTGGTCTTGAGTGACTGGACTGTACCGTGGACAACTTTAGGGAACAGTACCTGCTTATGGAGTCTTATGTGGCCCCGGCGGCTTCCCGTGTCATAGGTCACTTGGTCCTCAAGAGTTTGTGGAATTTGCTTGAGGCAACGCTCCGCTTTTTGACTCCAGTAATGCCAGGCTGTATCTAAGTTATGTTGGCTGAGCAGCTTGGTGGGGTTATAGTGCGAGGGTTCAACGGGTTCGATATAATCTGCTGGTGGCCTATCATAGGTGAGATTAGACCCAGTGGTGTAGACTTTCTTAGAGTGCTGTGCGCGCAGTGGGATACGCAAGGCAGTTTGAACTTCACTGTGGTCTTTCTTATTCAACCCTGGCAACACGTGGTAGCTATTGCAAAAGGTGCTCGCTTGTTGATTCATAAGAATGAGGTCAATGCGGGAGCTAGCCCCTTTATGGCAAGTCGCGCCACTAGCCGTGGTTGCTGATTGCCAACAGTACGCATCGTACAGAAATCCCGCTCGCAAATAAGTTTGCATGCGTTCAGATTCACTGGGTTGAATGTTGAAATCGCCGATGAGACATGCAATTTGAGGTCCACGCATGGCTAAGTCTGCGCATATGGCTTTGAACATAGCATGAAACTGCTTCTTTTTGTCCCCATCGGAACGGGCACCAGAAAAACCATAAATGCCATAGATTAGAAGAAAAGGCCGGTTGCCTTTGCCACGATAGGCCTGGACTAAGATTAATCGGCCTTGAGAGTGAAAAGGATTACAGTCGGGGCGAAGGAAATTCTGCCCTTTAACGGCCCGCACTTTGCGCCTGCGTGCTATGCACATGACGCCTGCACGAGATGTCTCAGGGACGGGCGTGCCCCAAATTAAGTGGAAATGGCCTGTATCAATGGCTAGAGATTTTTGAAGTTTTTCACTGCAATGGGTTTCCGTGAGAATGCAAATGTCGAAATCACGGTCTAGAATTTGTTGCCATCTACCGATAGCGGATAAGCCATTACTTTTATATGTGGATATGCGCGCCTGGTCATCATGATGCACGGTGTTCCCATTAAGAGCGCGCATCAAGGCATTGTAAGTACGGCTGGCAAAACCGCTGGGCAATGGACTGCAGGTGTTACGAGAGAGGTTAGTTGATATTGGAACATGAAACCACTGCCTAGGGGTGTGATCAGACCTATCTACAGTTGCTTTGCACGCTGGACACTGTGACAGCTCGGGCGGCTGCGCTGAGTACCTAAGGGTGAAACACGGCGTGGATCTGCACAGGGGTGACAACACATTGGCTACATCTGGCGGCTTTGCTGACCGGGCGGTGTCTCGCCAGTGCGGCCAGTCGCCTTTTGTTTGGACGCATCGGATCTGGGGCTTGCTGGCGCCGGTTGCACGGCAGTTTGCTTGGGCGAGGCTGCCTTGGCCGCCGCACTGCATTGCGAAGGGAATTTCTTCTGCTCAGCTGCCCGTTTGCTGGGCTGCAACAGTTGCTTTCTGGCCGTTTTGGATTCATCGGCTGCTGCCTTGCGAGCGATGGAATTAAGTGCCTTGAAACGAACCGTGCGTGGCTGCTCATCAACATTGTAATGAAAATTCTCAGCTATACCTTTTTTGGCACTGGTAAATACGGCGTGATCTGCATCCTGGTAGACCACCTCTTCGAGGTCCCATCCCAGGCTGTTCAAGAGGTTGCTGAGACCGACCAAGCCAGTGGAGGTGGGCAGCCCGGAGATCTTCCACCTTTGTAGATCCCAGTCTTTGTCATGGCCATGGGCCTTGGCGTACCTCGCCAAATCTCCGTAGTTTCTAAAACGCAAAGCTAGAATACCCTGTTGCCCCTTTTCCACGAGCCCCAGCACAGTGGATTCTGCGGCCGCTGATAGCGCGTCTGCCAATGCGGTCTTGCTGTCCAACCACAAAAAGCTCGAGAGGCTCCGTCTGACAGGACTGATGGACCTTAGTGAAAATGCCCTCAGTGCCACTAGCTCGCAACACTGTGTCGCAAAAATCAGAATGACACATGAAGGTAAAAGCGCTGTCCATACGTGCTTGGATCTCGGCATATGCTACGGATGGGGTGACTTTGTCTAACCAACTGGCTAGCATTCCGGCCGGCGCACTCCCTTCCTGCCAACCACGATGGCCGGAACATTTGGCCTGCATCTTGGTCATGGTTATACCGACAACAAGTTCCTCCCCGGCCGGAGACATACGAACCTGGTCAGCAAAGCCTAGTTGCACCAAGAAGCGCTCCACTTGGATGTGGCGACGCTCTGCCCCTTCCGTGCAAACGCTATACGTGCACTTGACCTTGGACCTTGGATACCCTTTGAGGTGAAGCTCGTCGGGGCTCTGCACAACCAAAACTCCACAAGCTCTTGACGTGTAGCCTACTGCTGCAATCACCGTTGGCAATGCGTCACGGGGGCAAATAGCCACGCCTCCAGAGGAATCCAAACTTTGATGGTGTTTGACCGGAACTTCCCTCTTCTTGCAAGAGAGCAGGCTGGGCTCTGAGCTTGGCTGCTAAGGGAACTGCCGCCTGCATATTCTGCTGGAAGACAGCTTCTGGGTCTTCAGGCATCATGGCCTTGGCTTTGCCCTTACCGCCATTCTTTGCGCCTTTGCTCGCTGGAGGGCCATTCCCACACAAAGCATGGGCAAGGCGATTGCGGACTTTCCGCGACAGTGTCCACGAAAGGGCACGCAGGATTGAGTCAAGACATGGGGTGGTCACACATCTGCTAATTTCTGTATATGTCCTTGGCTGCAAACAGTCGGGCGATGTCCTGCTATGACAAACGGCCAATCCCAAAACCAGCAAGAAGACCAGTGGCAACAGTCCACCTTTGACCATGTCACGGATGCGATGATATCGCGATGGGCAACTTTGGGCACTCCTGATATGCTTTCGGCGACTAGCTTTGACTATGCGCGCCGGCCTCAGCCGATGCCGACGATGGCCTCTCCAGAACCATGTGACAAGACGCTCACTGAGATTCAGCGAATGACTCTGCGTGAAGCAAGCAAAAATTTGGAAAAGCCACAGCTCTGATAGAAATCAGACTGGATCCACGCATTGTGATTGCCAAAATGGCTCCTGGTTGTGAAACCGAAAAGGTGATACCTGGTGACATCTCAAGACGGCGCAAAAACACTGGGCAAACCACATCATGCACACTAGGCTCAAAAGAGCGTTGCATCCCAAGGCCGCGGCCTGTGACGTACACTGTCTCGCCACGTAACCACCACTCACCTCCGGCATGTACGTCAGGTGGTCACGTGTTGGCGCCGGAGAACCATCAGGATCCCAAAAGTAGTATGGGCTTGACTTAGCACCACAGCATTCCGCTGTGGTCCTGTCTGTCCATGCCCATTCACCCGATACCTGCACGAGGTAGGGATTTGGAGCTGCTAGCTGTCGGATTTGACGATTGCGGAAATTCTGGTGAAACTGAAACATGCAAAAACCTCGATAAGCTTGGAGCTTTCTTGCCTTCTAGCCTATATTTCGGTTTATTCCAGATAGTACTACATGGGGTGGGTTAGGAAAACGAATCTTGCTGCAAGACCCACTGAGGGGGCGTGAATGGCTGAGTAATCGGGTGGCAAATGGTCCTGGCAAAATTGTTACGCCGATGCATCCACGCCCATTCGCGATTGCAGCGTTTGCAATATATCTTGCCAAAGAGTTTGTCGTTCTGTTTGTCCTTACCAAACTGCTTATTCCATACCATTTGATGGCCACCCTTATTGTGAACCGAGTGCAGTTGGAATTCAGCAGCTTCAATCCTATTCTTATTCATCATCGCACCTGGGGAGGACAGCCACTTATCTTTGGGCAAGTTGGAGTACTTACAGGGTCTGTTGGTAATTTTAAGGCGCTGGTGTTTGAGATTGGCAGTTTGCTTGCCACACTTTACGCAAAACACGCCCTTGTTGGGCAGCAATTTCAAAACATGGCCTTTGCAGGGTACTGGCAAAGACTTTTCAGTGTCAGAGAGAGCAGGCAAAGAGCTTGGAAAATGCGGAATTGCCTCTGTTGTGACAACCTGAAAACCTTCAGGATCTTCATGCCATTCTTGGATGTGCCTTTGCCATATAGTTACTAAAGTTGCCTGGATTATCTCCAAGGACTGCTTATCAATGGATAATGAGTGAGGAACAATGGTGCAGTTAACAAAACATGCTGGCAAACGATTGAGCGGCTTGGGAAGAACTGCCAAGGCTTTAGCCCGCAAATCTTTGAACTTCACACTTCACACACTCCCAAGAAATATGCACAATACTGGGTTCAGCTACACCACATGAACATACAGTTTTTACCAAGAGTAAACGCAAAACCTTCATGCGAACCTTAGGGCCCTTTTCAATGTCGACCGGATCAAGACCCATGGCATCAGCTTCTCGGGCCCATTTCGACAAGAGAGCAGTGGTGAGTTGCTTGTTTACTCCCTGTGATGTTCCCCCAAAGTGCTGACCTCGGTCTCGACAAAGGAGCTGCCAAGTATGCTTTCGGAAATCGTCTCTTAAATCATGTTGCCATTTATCCGGAGTGAGAGTGTTATTAATAAGGTGAGAATAGGTTGAAGCAAAAATTGGATGCGGTGTAATCTGAAGAAATCTCTTATAAGGACCATCTATGATAGGTTCTTGCAGTTGGGAGAGATCATGGTCCAATTGTTGTCGTGCTGCAGCTGAAGGAAACATGCGAAGCATCAATTGGAATGGAGTGCAACGCAGAGCAAATTCAGGCTCGAGAGTTGGAGGTGTCAACAGGCAAAACATAGCTTTTGGCAAAGCCGAATAATGGTTAGCGCAGAGCAAAGCTTTAGCCACTGAGGAACGCATGGCCCGTAGGGTTGTCAAGGGAATCTTCAGTTCCCCCCAAGTCAACTGTGAAGTGTAAGTCTGCATTATTCGCACCTTCGCAAACCAGCCTTTGGGAATATGGCGAATCTTTGAGTTGGTCTGCTGCCACTTGGTCTGGCGTTGCTGCTCCAATTTTAATACTACCCCCTACGAGTCGAAACTGAGATTTGTGACTGGAGACGCCTGGAATGAGACCTTTGAGTTTGGAATTGCCGAAAGTGAAGGTTTTATCGCTGTTTATTTCCACTCCGGATTTTTGAACAAAGGTCGCAGCATCAGCATGAGCGTCCTGAACATTCGTTTTGAGGGTTTGAAGGGATTCTGCTACTGACACGATGGACATATCATCCGCGTATGACCTCCCCGTAGAGATATCATGCTTAGATTCACCTTTTTCTAGCCATGCTGTAACCATGGAAACTAAAAGGAGCGTGCTTAAAGGATCCCCTTGCGCCAAACCATTACTGGGCGCAAAAGAGTCAGTAAAACAACCATCTATGCTGAAGTACTTTAAGTGATTGGAATAAAAAGCACTGATAGCATCCACTAATATGTTCGGAGCTCCTCGAAAGCGGAAAATCTGTAAGCAAAGAGAGATTGGAACACTATCGAAGCCTTTCTTGAGGTCGTAGCTTAAACCTCCTACAAAATTGCCGTTTTGCAGTGCGTTAGCGATTTGTTGGGCGACTTCAATGGCTAGGATGTCCACAGGTTTGGATCCTTTGCCACCGAAAGTGTTAGAATTTTTCCAAGCAGGGTACCATGACTGGATGGGTTGGGAATGCTGAGTTTTTGACCAGAGAGGATACACACTAGACAAAATAGTTATAGGGCGATATTGCGACGGTCCAGGGATGGAGCCATCATCCAGCTTGAGTAGAAAGACAACTGCCCCCTTGGTCATGTGAGTTGGCCAAACTGAAGCTTCTTCAAGAACTTTAAACAAAGAGGCGAGATGGCGCATTAAAGATGGGGACCAGGCAGCCAAAAGCTTGAGTTCGCCAGGCAGAAAATGATCTAAGCCAGCTGCACTATTCTTGGAAGTTTTCAGAATATGACAAATATCCTGCGCAGTGATGGGCGGAAGTTCCATATTCGGCAGGAAACGCACGCAGGGTAGGTCCTCCTTGTTTGTGCGTGGAGTAAATGTCTTTCCACACCTGGACCTGTGAAGTTCGCGTCAAACGAGCTTGATAATTACAAGTGAAACCATCGGAAGTCTGTGACAGCTTGTCGTGAGTGGTTTTAGGTTTCTTCTTCGTCCACTTAAAGATATTTCGATCGGAATTTTGCAAAGAATGCTTCCAGCATTTCAAACGCTGAGAGCGATCCTGAGAAGTATTCTCTTTGAGCAATTCCAACACGAATTGGGCCAAAAACTCACACATGGGCTGGGTTGGTGTTTCTTGAAAATGTGGAGTTAACTTTTGAGAAATATCATTAGGCAACTGTCGGGAGATTTTGAGAAATTTATTCCATGTACGATCAAATCGTACACCGGTGGACATACAACTAACCTCTTTTAGTTGGCAGTGTAATCGCCAAAGTCTCCTACTAGTCATGGTCGAAGCGTGACCCATGACAACTTTAGGATGCCTACGCTGCTCATGAAACTGGACTTGACCTTTGCCATCAGGATCCTCTCAGCTTCATAAGACCACAAAGTGAAAGCCCTAGTCACATCTTGCTGTTGAAGAGGCTGTGCGAAGGAATTCGAAAGCAAGGGTTCATATAGCCTGTCGCCTGACTCGGGAAAACTCAACTCAGTGTAAACCTGCCCCTGTCTCAATGTCTTACCTTTCTGGCTACATGTCGGCGCAATCATTTTTGCTGACACACATGAATGATCTTTGAAAGGATGAACTCGCTTTATTTCGAAATCGAAACATTGATCATACAAGCGACGGAAAACAAACAAATGATCAATCTTCGACCCTTGCCCCTGATGGCAAGTATTGCGACTCTGCATTTGCTCATCAGCACACTGCCGTAAATCGAACCAAATCCCGGAATGGAGCAGATCTGATAACAGCTTACTGTCAGATAGCTCTAGGTTAATATCTCCGGTGAAAATAGCAGGCACCTGTCCACGAGCGATCAAGTCGCGACTGAGGGCCGAAACTAAATTATGCATATATGTTTTTTTGACTCGATCAGAGCGACCTCCAGACTGACCATAGCAAGCATACACAAAAATCGACGCGCCACCATTACCAAGCCACAATTGAGCTACAAGGGCGCGACCATCGTGACAAAAAGAAACACATTCATTGTCTTGTGCCCATTGCAAGGACTTGGCTGCCCAAAAGGAAGAACGCTTGGCGAATACCGCAACCCCTGCAAAGTGACGGTCATTTGGCGCAAAACCCCAAAGACAATAATAGTCAGGAAATTTATCAGCCTCAGCAGCGAGCATATGGGACTGCAAGTGTGTTTCTGTAAGTACTAAAATATCTAGGTCAAGCGCTGCAATGCTTTGACGTTTGGGCTTGTCCTGAAGACCACCACAATTTAAACAACCAAAAGTTAAGGAGTGGCCAGGAACAGTGTGATGTCTGGAAGACCAAGTACGATGCTTGCCGGCAGTATTACCATTTAGAGTATGCTGTAACTTACTCAGCAATCTGCGACTTTTGCACCACACAGAGCAAGTTAAGATTCCTTGCGAATCTTGCTGTCAGGAGTGAGACCAGTTGCTTGAGTGGCCGATCTTTTATCAGCATCTTTTGTTGGTGAAACAGGCGCTTTGGCCGCAGCTTTGGGAGGAACTTTGACGGACCTTTCCAAGAAGAGGCGACGATTTTCCAACTGCTGTATCGAACGAGAAGGTGCTCGAAATTCGGAGGACGCAGTTGCCCGATTCTTATTGTACTCTTTTGCCAGCAACTTGGCCTTGGAGTTCAAGGCTTTCCACTTAATCTGCCTTGCAAACCCCGCATGGTTGAAGTATACCGGGTCACGCCGACCAATCTTCTCTGCTATAAATACGAAATGTCCTTCAGTGACATAAAGCACGTCCGGATTGACCCAATCTTGTGAGTGTAGAAAAGTCAGAGCACCGGCAATTCCTAAAGAAACAAGTGTTCCAGCGAATTTCCATCTGCCGAAAAGTGCATTGCTCTGAATGCTGTGCGTAGTAGCGAAGTTCTCCAATGTTGTCAGGTCAGCAAATCTTAAGGCAAAACGGCCTTCAACGGCCGAGCTCTTCTGAACCACCCCAAAAACAGAGTCATCCTTTGCAAGTTGCAAAGATTCTTCAAGACTATATTCAGGAGGTAGCCAAAGCAAAAGCAGTTCATTGTCTTCATCTGCACTGCTTTTCCGATGCTTGTAGAAAACGCCGTTCTTTCCAGACGCCTTCAAAAGAACGTTGCAGTAGTCCTCGTGGGCTAAGAAAGCCACTGAGCCTTCTTCGCGTGGCATGAGCTCTGAGAAAGCCATTTCTGGTATTTCCTTGGCTAATTCAGCAGCCGCGACGGACGCGGCCTGACGGCCATCCGAAGCGAGGAGGGAGTTTCGCAATCAGTGGCTTCATGGTCATTGCCAAATCAACGAGAGCTCCCTGCGTAATCTGCATCACATGATCTCCATATCCAATTTGAACCAAAAATCTGGAAACCGTGACTTCTGTTCGAGACACAGCGGAGTTCATGGCCAAGATCCGACAGGCCACACGCTGCCGTGGAAAACCATTAAGTCCAAGTTCGTCTGGTTCCATAGTGGTGAGGATACCAACCGGAGCAGCAGTCCACCCCACCCTGCGAATAATCTCTGGAACCATGTGAGTTGGTGCAAGACATACCCCTCCTTTTCCATCAATCAATTGTGGAGAACAAATCCGGATGTTCCAATCCTCTTGGATCAAGACACTTTGAGATCGCAGAAGTGCCGCTTGAGGTAAGGCTCTTCAAACTTCAGCAGCTAGGTCCAAGCTGTCAATCTCTGGAAAGTGTGTTGTCGTTCGGTCTGGCGCAGCGAAAATATTGGATGCGTTGGAAGCTGCCGCAGGGTTGCTGGCTTTACCTTTCTCGCCTTTGCCTTGGCCTTTCTTGCCTCCAGGCCCATTGCCATGAAGAGAGTGCATCTGACGGTTCCTGTCTCCTGGACAAGTTCCAAGAAGAAGCAGTGAACCACGGCATAAAACATGTCATATAGAGCTTCAAGAGCCCTCTGCGTGCACGAAGTATGTTCATTTGGTGAAGACGTCTATTTCGACATTGCCGAACGCGGCGCTTGCCCACTTTGCGGGCGCGAGATGGCATTCTGGCACCTTCACGCTTTCTTGCAAAAGGATAAGAAAAGAAGGGCAGCTCCCTATAAAAACGAGGGTTTGAATTCTGAAAATCAGTGAAACTACGAAAGAAGAGCCAGCAAATGGACAAACTGCGTGCTGTCATCACATGGACGAGTATCACAAGCATGGAGCCGAAGTCTGGTTGGACAAAACCATGCATACACAAATCATGAAGACCGCGTACAACAAATCCATCAGGATATCCTCAGACATGCACTGACTCGCCTCGCTGGACACAATCACCAGGAAAGTTTGTACTGCCCTAATTTCACCATCAGTGAGCCGACTGTTAAGTGGAACAACGGCAGCATACTTCACACAAGTGGGAAGGTCGTCGGGCGAGCAAGACAGTTGATCAAGCAGCATCAGTCTCCGTTCCTGATACTGTGCACAGCGCCAAGACACATGCTCGACAGATTTCTGTCCAATCCACATCTGCAAGTACGAGGCTCACCTTGCTTTCTATGCCGAGCAACAGGATCAGGAGTCATCAAACCACCTGCAAAGATCGTCCGAAGCACACCAAGCTTAGCCCGGGCGTCAACAACTCGGACATCATCGGATGATTCAGAATGACCGCCGTCAGCAAGAAACTGGAGTTCATTATACCAGGTCATAGTTCTTAGCGCTGACTCCGCTCTCGAGCAACATGCGACCACAACTGATTCCTCCAGGTCTCACGCAAGCTGTGAAGCCACTCATCTTCACATATTTCATGGTTGAACCAAAAAGTTGAGGGCGTGTAGTCATCAGGGCCCTGGAATCTTTTGTCAACGTCCAAGTGTGAACCAGCAAATCCCGCAATTCTTGATGGCGCGTCACTTGTCGACGAGCAGTGCGGAAAGGCCATATCAATTTGAGTTGGCAAGGGTCAATGTTGTATCTCTTGCGGCACAAAGTAAACAACACGTCGAGTGACTCTATTCGTCTTTTGGACCCAAGGACACCAGCAACGGCGGTGCGGCATGCTCTTGCGACTGCGGTTCCCTTTGGAACAACCTTTCGGTCCTGATTTCGGACGAGCTTGCTGCTGCGTTGCACGGTATGCTGCCCCCCCCCATGGATCCGCCGGCTGCGATGAGGAGGAGGAACGCTTCGAGAGTCTAGAGGATCTGCTCCCTCCTACGTGTCTTGTTCTCTTCAAGGGTCTCCTTCTGCTTGGCAAGTTTGCGCTGCACACGGTCGTCAGGCGAATCAACCTTCGCGAGCAACACCTTTTCCCCGCTGTCAAGAATCACTCTTGTCATCGAAGGTGCTTCATCTGCTTTCAGCATCCACTGAGCTTTGGCGCCAGAAACCGTGGATCGGTACGGGATCACTTTCCAAGGTTTCCAGCCGCTACTCTCGATGGTCAGTCGAGGACATCACTGCAACGATCTTTGTTCCTCTCCAATGAGCTGGAAAGCCGGAGGCCATCCATCGCTCTTTGCCAATCACACCTGACCTGCATTGGCCGAAGTGATCCTAGTATTGCCTTCAGTCAAGACAGATCTAGCTTGTCCTGAATGGTCTTTGTTGGTGATGAAACCCTGTATATCAAGTTGTTCCGACAATCCCTCAAATGCTCCCCAACGATCTGCGACCAGCCTTGCGGATTGTACTTTTCGAAGGAGTGCAGAAGCATGACCTTTGCGATGTCACCAGGAGTCTTGACAGTTGGAGGTAGAGTCGACACAAATTCTTTCCCCAAATTGATACCTACGATTGGTTTCAAGAACTGCCTCGATGTTGCTGGATCTTCTAGAGACAGGATGTACTGGAAAGTGGCTCCAACCAATGCAAGGTTCACCTTCTGAAGGAGGGCTTGCAAGTCTGCTCCTAGAGTACCTGGGATGAGGAGACATAAACATTCGCCTCCCTTCACTTTTGGGCTTGTTTTCCAAGAAAATGCTATTGCAAAAGTATATTCCCTCGGCTCCACCGGTGATTTCATCAGCACGGATGCTCATGAGCATCGCTTCAGTTGGCATCTTCAACTCATCGGCGTGAAGCAAGCGAATTCCTGGGGCTCCAGGCGCTGATTCCCATTTGCTATGAGAACTAGAAGGAGGGTTCCCGTTGTAAGCATGCTGGCGCCGGTTGCGCTGTTTGCGGTCAACAAACCACACACCTGAGAAAAAGGGTTGCCACACAAATCCAATGGCAACAAAGAAAGAAAGCAACTGCCAGCATCTGCGCTTGAAACTGCATGAGTGCTTTCGACTGCGCCGTCTGCGCTGCTTATATCGTCTCCCTTTGATAAAGTGGCATCGAAACGGTTTTCTGGTGCGGGTGCAACCGAGGGAAGCAAGGAGCACAGTGCCACTCAAGATCGTCATGACAAAGAAAGACCAGGCACACCATAAGAAGGCCATGGTGTGCAGAGGATAACATAGCAAGAGCATCGTGAGGAAGCTCAACATGACCAGGCTCCAGAGGCCATACGGTGGATGACATTCCGCCTCAGGAGGCTCGCCCCGGAAACGAACAAAAGAACAACAGGAGAAGCGTCGTGCTCCCGGATTAGCTCGGTATATAACCAACAAAAGGTGGTACAAGATGTGGATCTCTTTGAGGCGCCTCACGTACTGTGATGTCTCGGGCTGCCTCTTACCAGAACGCGTTTTGCGGGGCCAGGAGCCTTGGCTTGCGAAGAAGCCTTCGACACACGACTTGCTCCAGCATGCGAGGTCATTTGGCTCTTTGCAACAGCGTTCACTGCCTCGAACCGCAGGCGGGAGCCCAGTCCACGACAAGCAGAGTGCTTTCGCAAGTTGGCCAAACTCCAGACATGGGCGGTCGCCTGACATAATTAACAAGAGACCAAAAAGGAAAGCGAATTTAAAAGCCCCGGTTGCCCCGGAGACGGCGCCGTGGACGCCGTAGTTGTCATACGGTGTGCGTTTAACAAGCTGAACACTGGTAGCTTCGCAGCACTAAAAAAACAGTCGCCTTTTGTTGCAAATCATAGTGTCTCGGGAGTGATATATCCCATTGTCGCGAGCATAGAAATTCGGCCATGCTT